CTCTTTCCCAGCATGATGTCCTGCTCCAATTTTATAGTTAGATAATTAAATTCAGAGCATAGGAGCATTCTGCTCCTCAGCAGTATTGCATAGACGCACATGTAAGGCAGACTGTTGTGCAACTTGCTTGACATCTTCTCATACTTCAATGGCAGCTGATTGAGAGAACAATGATTTTTTGTAGAAATGTATCGTCTGTCCATTTAGTATAAGGCCAGTGTTTCACCAGCCCATTGGCTTCAGCCTGGGATGGTATGCTCCTCAGTAACAGCTTAGAAATCAGTGGCTTCAGGTGCTGCAGTTCACACCCCAAAGTATCAGCAGAAACGTACCTGAGGAACACTTATTTTAAAATCCAGGCTTTTTTCTAGGGCTGCTCAGATGTCCTGGTCTGCCATCTTCCTACAGGAGTATTAAAGCAGCAGGATACCAGGTAGGGCTATCAACTGTCACCTTAAAAGGCTTAAAAGCCTCCTGTATAATGGATGCACATACCGACTACGTTATAGAAATAGCATTATGGATTAATTATACATATCACAAGTGTGAAAAAGCATATTTAAAGAATATATTTTTTATATATATATAAAAAATATATGAGGCATTTAGAACTTGCTTCGTGGAAAATAACACGTTGGGTTTGTCCAATGAAAGACAAGACTGCAAAATTTTGAATTTAATGTATAATATAACCTTTATTCTTTTTCCTCTAAACTCTTGGAAACTTACATAACAATCGTGCTTTAATTATGACACCATTTATAGACATTTAAAATGCATCTTAATTTATAAATATTTTACATTTGGTCCATAGAACAGGTTGCAATTTACTAAATAATACTGTACTCTTTTAAACAGGCTCTGTATATATTTTTGAATATGTATATATTACATATATACTTTTATATAGAGATAGATTTGCTTGGTGTTCAGATATTTCCTTATTGCAAAAAGCATATATGATCATACAATAATCTTTTTTTCAGGGCAAGTACTACAAAAAAGATACAGCTATTCACAGTTTACACACAGTAGTTCTACAACACTATTTTGTGCTATATGATACGTTTGTACAGCTTTTTGCTAAAGAGCAGGTCTGTCAAACATCTGTCATAATTGTTTACAATCAAACATTAAATACTGCATTTTTCTTAGAACAACATGGGACTTGATTACATTAAACAATAAAGAGAAAGTTGGAATTTTTATCCTTAGTCTAATGAAATTCACAAGTATAATGTGTATGTATCATGTATAATGTTTGTGTAGGATGTATGGTTTTCCTCTAAATCCCAAAGACTTACAGGACTTTTGCATTTCAGCTATAGCCATTTAGGATGTAGCTTAGATCTCATAATATTTTACAATTGATCTATGTATGAAACAGTTTAGAATCTACCAAACATACTCTGAGATTTTATGATGTAGTTTGAAATACATGTGTATTATATATATTATTTCTACAATAATGTGCTTGACATTCTGAGAATAATACCTTATTGCAAGAACGTGTTTGTCACCTTCAGACAAAAACAATGAAAAACCCAACATTCACAGTTAACATGTTTTTCACGTAGTAGTTCTACATAAATTGTGCTATCTAACATTGTACGTTGCACAAAAATTTGCTGAAAAGCATGTTTCATTGCACAGTTCTGTCACAGTCATTTACAATCAAACATCAACTACTGCATTTTCCATAATCCTTTGTGTCTGTCATATAGCTGCCAAACGAGAAATACCATACAGGGCTAACCAATGCATTTTCCACAGAAGGAAAAACTTCCATGAGCTGAACGGGGCTTCTAGCTATGTGGCAAATGCAGACCGAGCCCAGAGTGGAGATTTTTTTATATTATTGAAATAGCTTTCCCTCATGCCTTCATCACCACAAATAATATGTAAATAAAAATAAAACTGTTTTCAAAGTGCTAACGATCCATATTTTATAATTTGCTTATTAGAAACTGTTAAAGTCCTTTAACGGATTAAAAAGAACAATTGTGAATTAAACCCTAAATTAGAATTACAAGGATAAGCTTCAATCTTTAAGCCATTGTTTTGGTTTCTATTTTGGTGGCAATGCAATAACAGTAGAATAACAACAGCATAATAAAAGCTCAAGTATTCGGAGTCTGAATTGCAAATACTTTGTATTTCTTTTTCTCCTGGGAACCTTTAAGAGGTCTTGGATATTACTTCTTATTTTGCTAAAAAAGTTAGAAGTCATATTTTTGCCTCTAACATCTGTGATTCATTTAGTATTGATTCACAAAGATATGTTCTTTTTATAAGAAATAGTATATATATTTTTAAAGAAATGTACGATCTTGTTTGAAAGTTGTCCTGAAAGGCTAAGTACAGATAGCATTTACAGCCATTCTATGCTGTATTGCCATAAATAGCCATATAACTTAATTTGCACTAGGAACGTTTATAAAGGCTGTGTCTACTGTTAACTGAAGTCTCTTCCCCCTCAAATGGCCTCAACTGGAGCAAATTTTAAGGGCAGACTTTTTCACTGGAAATCATTTGTTTACAAAATAGTCATTCTTTCGTACAAAATAATTCCAAACTTAATTTTACTCCTGCAAAGTCAGAAATAACAGTCTTGGGATTCAGCGGTAAGAAATATTGATAAACTACTAAAAATCAGCAGCACAAAACTTCAAATAGTCGTGCTAAAAGGTAGATTAAAAAGGTCTTGGCACATCAATTTACAAATTCCAAGATATGCAACCATTATTGTGAAAGGATAAAAACATTAACAGTCTGTGGATTGCCAGAGAACACAAAACACCGTCAACATCTGAGCTCGCGCAATGGTTCTATCATACCCATGGCGATTCCCTTATAGTGGAGATGACCTTTTTTCTTTTTTTTTTCTTTTTTTTTTTTTTTTTTTGCCACTAGAGGTAGGTAATTATATTCTCAGACATAAATTTGTGGTCATATTCAACCATATTTTTTGTTTTTCTGGAGCAGTATTGGTACTTTTACAATACAGAAGTTTAGATGTAGGCTTCTTTGTTTGCAGAGTTGCTCTGTTGGGCCTGGTCTGGCCCGTTTTCAGGATGAGTGATGTCTTCACTTGGCTGAATCATTACTTGGATGCGCTGTTTAAAGAACAATGTGCGACAGTCAAAAAAATGTTTCTAAGCTTACTTTTTTTTCTTTTAAAGGTAATCCTAAACAATTCTGTCTAGGCATTAGAGCTAAGATGAAAAATCCTGTCTATCTTCCAAGGGACCACAAAGGCAGTAAGTCACATATACTAAAAATAGCTTTAGCTGTGTTCTGACCATGACAATAGGAGTTGAAAGACCACAGGCAAAATGGTGGATGCCACCAGACATTAACAACTGAGCATGCCTAGGGAAAAGAAATGAGGAGAGACTGCAGCGTGGGGCAGGTGAGGAGAGACTCTGCTGCGAGCCCACAGGTCAAGCACAGAGGCTGCAAGTTTGCAGTGGGCAGCAGGGACTCAAAGCTGGATCTCAGACGTGATGGTGACCCTCCCCAGGCAGCAGAAGGGACTCCAGAGTATTGGCTGCAGCTTCTGGGAGTTACTACCTCCAAGGATACAACAGGTAAAGTAGACTTGTATTTAAGATTGTTTTATTTCTATTCTGTCTTTCCTAGTCCTTTTGTGTTCTCCATTCATGAAGCTTGTCTGCCTAGCTTGCGTTCATATCGAGAAAGAGAACCAGTTTTCATTGTCAAAGCCTGTGAGTGGTGTAGGGTCCTCCTATTATCTAATGATCATTGGTCAATGCTTTCAAAAATGAGACAATCCACAGCAAGACTGAGATGAGGAGATTTTACTGTGGTCTTATATGGCTCTGATCAAGAAGAGCTATATTTTAGAGCAACAATTCTCCAATTGCATGTAAATGTTTCCATAAGACCAAGGGAAAGATATTCAAAACACAGGGGCTAAGAACAAGGCGGGGGGTCACTGAGTCGTTTAAAATTTGCTGAAGACAAATATTTGGATCAAGATCTAAGCAATTCATGAGGCATTACTTGTCAATTCTGCTTAACATCATCTGTCCCTTTGCAAAGATGGCTCTGTCAGCTGATTTCAGAATATTCCAGAAATTCTGACAAATTCATTTTGACAATCTTTGGTTCCCACAATCATAGAGGACAGAGATGTGTGTTTCAGTACTTGTGCCGAAGAAGTGTCTGTTATGCACAGAATGAGATTATTGGCTGCACAGGGAAAACTGAAGAGGCACTCAGATTACAAAAAATTAAGTACGGCAATTGTATGTGATTACTAAACAGTGTACTGGTCAATAACCTTATTAACATTTCATGCTCCTTTAGCAGCATTTCTCTGAGGACCTGAAAGCAGATTTAAGCCATACAGCGCCTCTCTCACATGGGAAGTGTCATCTCCTTTTAACAAATGGAATAAGGAATCAGAGAGGCTAAGAGCACAGTGCAATGAGAAAAAGGTCTGTAACGTTCTTCATGAAGTAACTGCTCATAGAAATCCCTTAAATAAAGACTAAAGGGAAGTGCAGTGTAATCATAAAATATGGTACAAGGTTTGACATGTACTTTCTCTCAGCTGCAGCAGAACAAGGCAGCCGTTGTAACTTAGAACAGGTGTAATGCAGAACAGGAGCTCAAATCTTCGATCACGTTGCAGGGAGATGCTAAATAGGGTCACTGTGAGCAGACTCATGCAAACCAAGAGTTATGTGGGTTTAGTACTAAGAGTTTGATTCCAGTTCCTTAGAGCATCACCTGCCTTGATACATGACAGTGTGTCTTGCGTTAATAAGGACAAATTTACATATTTTGTAAACTGCTACTGTGTTTTTTAGGTGTAAGGAGCTGGGATGCAAAGCGTCTGCAACTGTCAAAGCCCAGAGATAAGGACCACATTTAATGCGTTGAATGATGTTTAACAACAGATGGTACAGACACTGTCTTGTCTTCTGTCTGTTTGGTACTTGTTTTTATGTTTTTCAGCTCAATGCAAAATAAGTGGGCTAAGCAAGTGAGGCCAGAGGAAAGATATAGTAGAAAATAGCTGCCCAGCAATTTTTTATCAGTGTGCACAGGTCTCGCAGGATGAAATCATGCGGTAAGGAAAAAGAGAGACTTACCTGTTTTAAGGAGCCTTTCAGGGTTAGAAACATATATGCCATGTAGCCCGGTATCAGCACCATAGAAGACAAAGCCATGAACCAGCCAACCCCTTGGCCCCATTTTGGGAAAACGTAACTTCCCATTGTGAGAGGAGTCATTTGGACAGCACTGAAGATAAATACTCCCTACAAAATACAGCAGAAAAGAAGAATTGGAGGAGATTTCCAGAGTGTTCTGTGTTCAAGAGTTTTTCTGGATTGAGTTGGACCTCAAGCCTGCCTTCACATCCAGGCAAGGAGAAAAGGGTTCCTTCGGTCTCTGGTGATGGGAGCAGGGCACTAGCTTCTAGATGGGGCCTGCGGGCCAGTCTTACAGATGGAGGTTGCAGAAAACAGAGAAATGTCAGCCTGACTGATTCCCTGCTATCTTAATCTCTAGTGTGGGAACATGTAAATAACTGAACTGTAATTCTGCAGTTGTGAAGTTGTTTGTTTGTTTCCACTAATTTATTGGAATAATAGTATCGGTACAGCTCTACTGTACTGGTCAGCAACAGAATCCTAGAGGCTCTGAATAAGAAATGTTCTTTGAAGCCTGGCTCTGCACTGACCTCTCTAATATCACTACCTAAGAGTGCTTGGCCCAGAGGCTTTGATATTGTTCAGATCCTCTGAACAAATGGATAATGGAAAATGAGGGCAGTCAGAATGGAACCTGCGGTTCAGTGGCTACAGATTTGTCTCTATAACAGAACTTCTCATATGAAATTCAAAAACCACTTTGAGTTTTTCAATAACGAGAGATGAGGAGATAGTTTCCCAAGAAGCTTCTTACCAAAATTAATCTTAATGTTTCAAGTTAACACTATATTTTTCACATACATAACCTGCATCTCAGTTTATCTAGGTATGCTGGTACGGGGAATCCACTGGTACTAGTAGAGTCCTGAGATAACCTGCACAAAATCAGAGGGAAGGGGGCTATTGGGAAAGATGGGGGTCCTGGAGAATAATACCTGCGTACACATGTGCACTGTACCATTGATCAGCAGCACTTGTGGGTTGCTTTTGTGTTGTTTTCACACAGATGGCCTTCAAACATGGTATTTTTTCCTTTAAGTTCCCAAGGAAGACTTCTATCCTGGCCTGTTTCAAATGTGTACAACCGCCTGCATAACGGAAACCTGCTAAACTGAACCAGCAAAGAAGGAAGCTCATTCTGATCCCAGGTTCAGGCCTTGTGCAGAACATATTCCCAGAGAGGAGAACGCAGAGTGGTGGATTTTGTTAGCACATCATCACCACCTGTGAACTCGCACTGGACAACAAATTCTGTTGAAGACTTTACAAGACAGGAGAAATCTGGTAAGTTTTACATACAATATTGGTCATCTTCCTACTATACCACTAAAATAAACAAAATGCATTTTTATGCCTTCCTGAACACTTGTTTTCAGAAAAATGAAAGTTGCCTTCATGTGAGCAGAGATGAATCAAGGAACCCTCAATATAAACACATTCCTGTGCCTCTCTCTAGTGCTCTTTGCTTTTCTATGTCCTTGGGCTAATATGGGAATATCAGAGAAATACCAGTGAGTGAGAAGTATTGTGTTATGTGTAATAGTGTCTACTTGGTTACAGTTTTTTTATATTGTATCTGGGTTGACTACATTATGTGTAGTAAATTTACGTTTCTTTGCTTATTATTTCAAAATATACTGTATGGGCTTAACTGGATAAAGTTTAGATTCAGGAAAAGACTGTACTGTGGTTTCCAGTGCACAAAATCCTTCCAAGGTTTGCCAGAAAAAAACAGTAGCGTTGTATTATAAACTGGATAATATATTCCACAGAATCCCATGAGAGAAGAACATCAGTTTATAATCCTAGTCTGTTACCAGAATAGTGCCTGTGAAGGAATTCAGTTTACAAAATGTGGGCATTTTTGTGTATACGGAAAATTTAGACTTTGGAGAGATTGCTAAATTTCATCTAAGAATACAAGAAATGGTGAAAATTTGTTTCTTACAGTTTTCTATCTCTGGCAATCAAACTCTTGACTAGTTACCATTTCCAGAGGACTACTACAAATCTTGAGATTGCACAAGGCTTCTTAGGGCACAGGCTTCCTCTAATGACACTGGTTTTTGCCTACTGCCTTCAATGGAATTGCTCAAATCCTTAGAAAAGGAATGAGATCAGAGTTAACATGAACCTGTGGGGGTGGAAATGACAATGCTGTAGTACATAGTCCGCCTCATTTACATCCTTTGAATCATATAATAAAAGTTTGTTCCTTACTGCCACAATGATAGGTGTGAAAAATGACCAGCAGAGTTTCCACCAGATGCAGGGTCTGTATCCCACCATCTCTTGGATGTTGTCATAAAATCTATTAACACCTAAATATAGAAATAAGAAACAGTATAGAAACATATCAGATAATTGATTCAATTAAAAGCTCAGTGGTTTTGAGAGACACTGTCATAAATGATGAGGTATATCTGGAAGCTTTATACAGACCCCAACATAACTTTTCACCTATCTGAATGGGAAAGAAATGTGGAAACTCAGAAGCACCAAGAATCACTTGTTCTCATTCTTCCGCATCATAATTAATTAATTAGTGACCAGCAAACTTATTCCCATGCAAAGGCTAAGGAAGTCTGTACATCTGAAGGTCAGATGCAATAAATCGCCCTTGGTTAACTTCAACTCTAAGTCTTATTAGAATGAGAGATTTAGAATGATATTTTACAAATGAAATTAAAAAAAAAAAAATCCATCTTAACGTTAACCAGCTTCACTCTGTGTGGATATATGCACACCATATACATGCAGAACTGCATATGAAATCAAAGACTGGCCCTTCTGCTGCTGCTGTTACCTACCAGCACTCCATCACCTTATAAAAGGTATGTCTATCATAGTATTTATAACTTCGTATTTTATTTCTTCATTAGTTAGCTGGTGTATTTTTCCATTCGCATTTGCTGGATTCATGCGCAGTATCTCCCCTATAAAATGCTGTTCCATCCTCTTATGCCCATTAAATGACAGCAGAAAGACTCCAGTTATCTAGCTCTGGATCAGTTTTATAATATAAGCTGAAGTGCCTTAGTAATCATGGGAGTAGGTCCTTGGACTAGCTAACACAGAACTAAGGCCAAATGCACAAATACTCTGCCAGGAATATGACACATATTCATTAATCTTTATACCCAGAGCTTGTCAGTCCAGGCTTCTGGGTATTTTAGGGCAATTATGCAAGATATAACTGACCAAGGAGCCTAGCTCTCACTGCAAGATCCTAGAGTGACAGAGTCATTTCTGGAAATGAAACATCACGAGTTCCAAATGACCTAAGTCATTATGTTGAGAACAGCAGTACCTAACACCTCTGAAGATCCAGGCTTTCCAAAGGAGGGGGATGGGAAAAAAAGAGGGAGATGTCACCTACTTAGCATTCCTGAAACACTTAGCATCTAATGACTTCCAGGCTTATACGTGGCGTGTTTAAAAGAGGCAGAAGTACCTTCCACAAGGCAACTTTGAGTCCTCAGTGGAATGATATGCATATAAAACAAGGCCAATTTCAGTTCCACCTTCAGCACGTGCACACACAAAAGAACAAATCAGTATCCTTATGATGTGCAAAACTTATGGAAAAAGTAAAAACACATTGTTTACCGTAGCACCAGGATATCGAGATGCACTCAAAGAATACAAGGAACAAGAGACTCATTCCACTGGCAGAGTAGTAGTCAAAAAGCTTAAACACATAGATTCCACCCTAAAACATATAAGAAGGAAGTGTTAAAATAAATAGTAAGGACTCCAATTTCAAGATAGATTAAAATGCACGCTACAAACTAACAGTGGCACATAGGTTAGGGACATATTAATGTAAATTAATTAAAGTTAACAGGTTAAAGTCTTGTAATGCTTGAGGTCAATGCTGTCAAAAATTAGATTACTGCTAGAATTCAGTTAACTGGTTTGTTTTCACTTTAGTCCTTTTTCTTCAATAATTCAATCATTTCCCTGAAATAGTTTGCAACCTAGTAGATCACAGGAAGCAATGGAGAACATCCCTAGCTACCACTTCTTGGACCGTAAGACAGATTGAGGAGCTGTGTATTTTCTTGTCACCTGAACCATGAAGTAGGCCTCACTGCATCCACAGACTACAGGCATTTTTACACTTACAAGTTCATGTCTGCTGCCTGAAGTCTTTAGATAGTGTTGATGATAGATCCCTGCCACTTCAATGGTTTGCAATGATTCCTGGTTGGGGCAGGGAAAGGGGGAAATAAAACAGATGCTATATGTCAGACATAAGATCGTACTCTTCTACAGAACATACCTGAGTAATATTGGACAGCCCTATCAGATAGGAAACAATGCATACAACAGCAATGAAGATTTCTCTTCGATTGCGCAGTAACTTCGGAAATTCATCCACCAAAGCTGTTATGAATCCTTCCACAGTGCAGAACTGCAAGTAAAGTTAGAAATAAAATACAATGCAATGCACTACAACAGCAGGATTACATTTAGGGGAGGAGTTTTCAATAGCACTCATCACTGGCCTAAGGCTGCATCCATTAATGATAAATGAAAATTCACTTGACTTCAGTGGAAGCAGTGCTTCTAAATATCCTTGTTTCTGTCTAAAAAGATCCGTGCAAAAAGATTTCCAGCTAGAAAGCCACTCAAAATTCCAAACTATGAACTACAGCATGCATTTTATGAACACGAAGTGCTCATTCTTGTGCTAGAAAACAATGCACCTACAGTTGAAGGCTTTGACCCCTAGATCCTTTGAAAACTTACATTTCTCCTTTCTGTGATTTACTCACATACATGAAAGCCAATAGACACAAAAAGTCTAATCAGATTAGTGCTTCAGGGTGAAGGTTAAAGACACAACATTGATTCTCATGTGTAATAAATCAAATACTTCTTGTATCCCCAGAAAAGATTTTTGCTGCGGATATGGTCCTCCAAATGGAAAGCATGGCCATACTTCAGATTTTTTCTGTATGTATATATTCAAAATAAATGTTACCATTATGATGGCTGAAATAATGAAAAACAGAAGGTATGTAAAGTTTTATTAATTTCCAGCAGTGCAATCAGAATTTAACCAATAGTTACAGTTCCTATAAATTACAGCATATGAAATGTTTCACTGAGAGACAGAAAATGAGAAAGCATGAGAGCCTGTAGGTACATATTCTTTTTAATAATATCAGACTACCTTCCTCAGCTGTTAGTTGCCTAGAGACAAGTTCTTTCAAGAATATTTTTGACCCAATTAATTTCACAGTAGTTTCCCCCCAGACTGAGCAATAGGTTTTAATGTCAAGCCTGAAGCTTACTGAAAAACAAAGAAATAGAAAACATAAATTTTCAGCTTCCTTTCATGTTGCAGGATAAAATGTCCTCTTGGTCTTTTTCTATTTTGGTTCACGCTGAAGCAAATTTGGATTTATAGAAAATGACAGATTTTCTCTATTGAAGGCCTAGTACAGTACTAAGGTAGTAATTCTCGTATTCCTCTATGTGCTATGAATACTGTGCTAATAGCTGTGAGGTGCTGTTTTGACAACTGCAACTGATTGCAAGTAGAGTAACACATCTGCCTAGGATTGGTCACATATGAACGACCAAACATTTCAGCAGACAGAAGGGACTTCCCTGACAAAGTCCTCAAAGTATGCTTTGCAAAATAAGACAGGGTGCTTTCTTTAATGTTTACAATATAGTTGCTGTCTGTATTAAAATTATTACTGATTAATGAATGCTTTTGTTGGACATAGTCCTTTCTAGCATGTAAAGTGCTTTTTCTTGTTCTGTGTGCTTTTTTGTTCGTTTTGCAATAAACATTTTTTTAATGATTACATGACTTAATTATTTCATTATTTAATTATTTAATCTAAACAGTAACGCTGGAGAATATCTTATTTGGTTTTGCAGAACATCTAGGTTGTGCCTTCCCATCCATTTCCAGTTGTAAGATACCATATATAACTCTTAGCTAAGGCCTGAACCAATAAAGGCTTGATCCTTACCATTGGGAACTGATTTCAGAACACGCTAAGACGCAGAATGTCCTCAGTAATGAGCCTACTGCCTCCTGCATTTGCTCCTCACATTCATATGCTTAAAATGAAATGCGTGCTGCATCTTTTTGCTCCCTGTGGTAAGTTCTGGAGTCACCTTTCAGAAATATTTGTGGCACCTAAATCTTGTAAAGCATATCCCAGTGTCTCCTACATTGATGAACACTGCAAAGGTATTTTTAATATTGCAATTGAGCAGCTAAGATTTCAAAGAAAGTTCCTTTTGTCTGCAGAATAAATTTTCTGCATATTTTGTATATACTTCCAACAGTTCATGAAAAAGCAAAAGTGTCTTAGTATCAGGTTTTGACTATACCAGGCTCCTTGAACCTCTTGGTCCTTCCTCTCCTTAGTACCTCCTATTATTTATCTGATTATTCCAGAAACCATTCTGCCCCACTAACTGCTGGCAGTGCAGAATGCACAGAGAGGCCAACCTTGTACCATACAGTTGCAGAAAATGTGTCTTCGTTATTAATTTTTACACCAGTTTTACCTGACTGTCAATTCCAAGCATAAGCAACATGGAGAAGAACAGTATTGCCCACAAAGGAGAAATTGGTAACTGTGTCACTGCTTCTGGATAAGCTAGAAATGCCAGTCCAGGCCCTGGTAGGAGAAACAGGAGAGAAAATGTCAATGTGATTGATGGGGTGTTGTGATTATTTGCTCCTATTGATGATACGTTTTAGATTTATTTGAATGACTCAGCCATGGATGCAGCATCTGACCAGGGATTTCAGCTTGATCAGAGTTCACTGACCAAGAAGTCAGTGCATGTATCTTGCTTTTAAAATGAACCAACCAAAACAAACGACCCCCCCCCCAAAAAAAAAAAAAACAACCAAACAAACAACCCAAACCAACCAAGCAAAATACTAGATGCAGTTCAGAAGCTGCTCCTGAGAGACACCTTTCTATAGCAAAGACAGGGAATGTTATCCTTGGCTAGGATTACATCTTTGGGTACTGATCAGCTTTCTCTCCCTCTCAAGTAGTTACTGATAGCTGTAATCTTCTGCTTTGCACCAAGTAGTTCAGAAGAGAAACAAAGACAGCTCAGAAATGGAGAAGACACTTTCCAGCATTTACAGTATTCCCATTTGCTATTCCATTCCATTCATTATCTTAAAATACACATTTTAATAAACTAGGTAGTTGTAAACAGGCAAACCTTTTCATTTGTGTTCCTACTAACTGCTGATGGAGGCATAGTGAAGGAGAATGTAAATTCCTGTTAAACAAGAAGGAACTCTTTTTGTTGTCATAGCATAGCTGGAAACCAGCTGATGTCAGGTTAAGAGGGAAACCTGTAGCAAACTAAATAATCACAGAAATAAAATTAGTGTGCCTCACCTAAGGGGGGTATCTGATTTTTCAGTTTTCATTAAAAGTAAGTCTGTCTGTGACAATTGGTTGGACATATATAGCTTTCAAACCAGTGAAGCAAGGATTGGCATTTCACACCTGAATTGTCAAAGTAAATACAATGCAGATTTTGAAACAATTATTTGCTAGCAATAGCAGATATGATTGGAATGCCTTGCAAATGGCAGTAGTAAAAGTAAAATAAACTTAAGATAAATATATTCATAATTTTATTCTGTTACACAGTCCACCAAAATGCATCTACAGCTTTTAATAATACTGTTTGTTTTACAAAGCTGTATAAAAGATCACAAAACAACATATCTCATGGTGCTAAAATAAAGCATCAGTTTCTGAGCTTGCTAGGAGAAATATAGGCCTTAATTAAATGGTCAGATTTCCAAATATCCTTTGCAATTACTGGCCACAGGAGGTCATGTGCATCTTTGAAAAGTCTATTATCTTAGGTACCTTAAAATGTATTTAGGAGCTTAATACGATATAAAAATATTGTTTTGTTTGCAGGTGTAGTCTTAATATAGTTACATCTGTATCAAATACTTAAATCCAAGAAGCTTATTTCACACACCACTGACTTTCCAGAGCATTTTTTTGACAACAGTGTATGCCATCATAATTTCTTTGCTAATTTTGTTGTATGTGTAGTTTATTAAAGATTATTTTTAGGGCTTAAATTCTCTGCTTTTCTAACTAAGGGAATATTTCATCAATGGGGTATGTTTGCTAGTATAATAAGACACATTTTGTCCACCAGCGACTTCCAACCAAGCTTTCACTTATCAGATCCCTCCCTGTGGCCAGAACTGCTAAATGAGTATCTGGTACACCAGCTGGGTTAGGGCAACCATCTGCTCTGCTACTTTAAGCTTTTTCATCTGGAAGAAAGACAAGGAATTGCAAAGAATAGCAGAATCCTTCCATGGACATCTTACTGCCCTAAGTAAAATGACGTTCATAATAAAGGGTCCCATAAAATTGGCTGACAGCTGTAGGTCTGAACAGGTAAGAACTCATAGAATCGTTAAGGTTGGAAAAGACCCTTAAGATCATTGAGTCCAACGACTAACCTATCACTGCCAAGTCCACCACTAAACCATGTCCTCAAGCACCACGTCTATCCGTCCTTTAAATACCTCCAGGGATGGAGGCTCAACCACTTCCCTGGGCAGCCTGTTCCAGGGCCTGAC